GTGTTAGTCGTAAGTTGTGGTATTCTGAGAAGGATTGGGATGGATGTGCGTTAGTCTCAAGGTGAGGTATTCTGAGTAGGATTGGGATGGATGTGTGTTAGTCTTAAGGTGTGGTATTCTGAGAAGAATTGGCATGTATCTGTGTTAGTCATTAGGGGTGGTATTCTGAGAAGGATTGGGATGACGTCTCTTTCGTGTGTGTTGATCTTAAGGTGTGGTATTCTCAGAAGGATTGAGATGCAGTCTCTCTTGTGTGTGTTAGTCTCAAGGTGAGGTATTCTGAGAATGATTGTGATGGGTATGTGTTAATCTTGAGGTGTGGTATTCTGAGAAGAATTGGGATGGCGTCTCTCTTGTGTGTATTGGTCTCAAGGTGTGGTATTCTGAGAAAGATTGGGAATGAATCTATCTTGTATGTGTTAGTTGTAAGGTGTGGTATTCTGAGAAGGATTAAGATGGAGTCTCTCTTGTGTGTGTTTGTCGTAAGGTGTAGTATTCTGAGTAAGATTTGGATGGCGTCTCTCTTGTGTGTGTTAGTCATACGATGTGATATTCTGAGTAGGATTGGGATAGATATGTGTTAGTCTTAAGGTGTGGTATTCTGAGAAGGATTGGGATGGAGTCTCTCTTGTGTGTGATAGACATAAGGTGTGGTATTCTGAGTAGGATTGGGATGGATATGTGTTAGTCTCAAGGTGAGGTATTCTGAGAAGGATTGAGATGGCGTCTCTCTTGTGTGTGTTAGTCGTAAGGTGTGGTATTCTGAGAAGGATTAGGATGGAGTCTCTCTTGTGTGTGTTTGTCGTAAGGTGGTATTCTGAGTAAGATTTGGATGGCGTCTCTCTTGTGTGTGTTAGTCTTACGATGTGATATTCTGAGTAGGATTGGGATAGATGTGTGTTAGTCTTAAGGTGTGGTATTCTGAGTAGGATTGGGATGGATATGTGTTAGTCTCAAGGTGAGGTATTCTGAGAAGGATTTGGATGGCGTCTCTCTTGTGTGTGTTGATCTCAAGGTGTGGTATTCTGAGAAGGTTTGGGATGGATGTGTGTTAGTCGTAATTTGTGGTATTCTGAGATGGATTGAGATGGAGTCTCTCTTGTGTGTGTTAGTCGTAAGGTGTGGTATTCTAAAAAGGATTGGGATGGCGTCTCTCGTGTGTGTGGTAGTCGTGAGGAGTAGTATTCTGAGAAGGATTGGGATGGATGTGTGTTAGTCTTGAGGTGTGGTATTCTGAGGAAGATTTGGATGGAGTCTCTCTTGTGTGTGTTAGTCGTAAGGTGTGGTATTCTGAGAAGGATTGGGATGAATGTGTGTTAGTCTTAAGGTGTGGTATTCTGAGTAGGATTGGGATGGATGTGTGTTAGTCTTAAGGTGTGGTATTCTGAGAAGATTGGGAGTGGCGTCTCACTTGTGTGTGTTAGTCGTAATGTGTGGTATTCTGAGAAGGATTGGGATGGCGTCCCTCTTGTGTGTGTTAGTCTCAAGGTGTGGTATTGAGTTTCTGAGCCCGTGTGCGACCGTCGTTCACTCGAATGCTAGTTGTACTCACTTGTCATACACTCCTTGCATCTGGTGGGCCTGTAGTCTGTCTACAGTCGTCTATCCCACTGCCTACTGCCTTGGGACAGAGGTATATCGATTCAAAACTGATGAGACCTCCACATGTCTGATATACTTCACCTTACAGGCGAGTACGGTAGAGCATATGGACACTCGGCGGATCAAAGTATTTCTGGGCTACCGATACGACTATGGAAAGACTCAGACTGGACCCAGACAGCTCCTGTACGACGATGTGGACACCATGTCTAAGCTGAGTCTGGTTGCATTAGTCCGTGAAGTATTGGTTAGGTAATAAGTGTAGACGTATGTAGTTGACATCATATGCCTGCGCGGATAGGTGCACCCAGATTCAAACCGAGTCTGGTTGGGTGTCTCCATAATATTATATACAGACATCTGCTATGTGTTCATCTGGTATCATATATGTGTGCGGATAGGTGCACCCAGATTCAAACCGAGTCTGGTTGGGCGTCTCCATAATGTGCTGACGAGGTAATATATACAGACATGTGCTATGTGCTTATCTGGTATCATATGCCTGTGCGGATAGGTGCACCCAGATTTAAACCGAGTCTGGTTGGGTATCTCCGTAATGTGTTGACGAGGTAGTATTGCAGATATATGCAGTTTACGGTGGTACTCATCGGGTACCATATGTCTGTGCCGACAGGCGTACCCAGATAAGATGAAGTGTGCGTTGACAAGTATTGATTTCAACATGCGGTTGTGATTGTATTGCTTGATGCCATCGTTGTGGCTGTACTATTATAACTATGTGCGGCTTACTACTTCATCTTACCAGCGTAGGAACATCGCGAGCAAATATTTTCCGTTCTGTTCGTGAATATGCCAATGCACATGTAGTCGTATAGACCATACCTTCCTCTGACAGTCACTGTGTGCACTCGCGTTCCATCTCCGTAGAGTTCTACGCAACGATATGCAAGGGTACTTGAAGCTTCCCGGACGCAACTTCTTCAACCAGGCTGTCATGGTGTGCTATTTGAAATTCAATAGTGGGCTGGGCACCCATCAGGACTCAAAGGTAATTCATCGTGCTATAGCAACTCACCATGCTAAATACTGTGCGATTGGCGGCTCCTTTCTTTTCGCCGGACGAGCATTCCCGATTTCGGCTTCGTTTTTTGGGTGCTGTGGTCATTTACTGTGCCATTTCTTTTGGCTTGATTTCCAGATACATACCTCTATAAACTCTCTCTGTTGTCTTCTGTACTACATCTGATATATGTGAGTGTACAGAGTCTGTTCCAGCGACCAATCATATCCATCCGCTTGCTCGCCGATGCTGCTCTGAGCTTCAATCGCGTCGGAAGGGAATGTCGACGTACTCCACAGTCCTTCTCGGTGCCGCAGAGTGTTGGTACAGTGACGTTGTTGGAGAGGTTTGCGGCGGACTATGCCACACATTGTGTGCTGAAGAAAGACTTGAAGGTGCCGAGCCTGTCCATTGTTTTCCGGGGTGTGCAGCAGAGTGCGGTTGAAGCGATGAGAAGCTCGCAAGTGTAGTCCTATGGGAAGTCAGTGAGGCTGAGGCTGTTTGTACGTGCGTGGAGGGTCCGTTTGGATATGGTTGTGGCGACGAGTTAGGGGTGAGGGGAGTTGGTGGGATTATAATAAAGACAATTGACTATGAGCATTTGGATGGATGTTTAATACTTTGGTTGGTTGTTTCGAGCCAGATTACTCTGTATTCTATATAGTCTACATAGTCTGTCATTATATAATCTATTCTGTATAGTCTATATAGTCTATCATTATACAGTTTATTCTGTATAGTCTACATAGTCTATAATTATATAATCCTATATAGCTCATAAAGTTTATCATCATATAGTCTATTCCGTATAGGTTTCAAAGTTTATCATCACATAGTCTAATCTGTATAATCTTTATAGTCTATCATTATATAGTCTATCAATCATTATATAGTTTAGTCAATATTGTCCATATAGTTTACCGCTATATAGTATATATTCTATTTAGTCCATAGTCTATCATAGTATAATCCATGGAAAGTTAGGTGCCGAACAGGCCGTGGAATATAACATACTGCTTATACGCATGGGTAGCGATTATATACATACATACATACATACAT